TGCAGCCAAATTCCTCCCTCTGTCACAGGCAAAACATCCTTTCTCCTCCAGAGTTATCCTCCAAACTTACCCAGGCATTTACTCCCCAAAATCCTTTCCCAAAGTAATTCCTGCTTTTTCAGTCCCCTCTCCCAGCCCTTCTCACACATCAACTCGTTTCTCCCAAATCCCAGCTCACTCGGAAATAATCATCCCTCAAAAAAACCCTTTGGGAAGGCCCAAAGAGCTGCTCTGACAATCCCACCTGGCAGGCTGTGGAAATGGGATTTTTCTTTTTTTCCCCATGAAAATTCTGGAATGGTTTGGGTTGGAAAGGACTTTAAAGCTCATCCAGTCCCAACCCCGGGACAGGGACACCTCCCGCTATCCCAGGTTGTTCCAACCCTGCCTTGGACACTTTCAGGGTGGGAGCAGCCACAATTCCATCCATCTCTCCCAATTAAATCTCCCCCAAATTGATCCATCTCTCTCCTCATGGCTGGTGCTGCCCCATCCCTGTGTTTTTCCCTCCTGGATTCTCCCACCCTGGTTGCTTTTCCACCTTTCCTTGCCGAACACCGGAGGAAGCTTTTCACTTCCAGACATTCCAAAGCCTGCAGGGCTTTCCAGGGAGAGCAGCTTTCCCAAAAATAACCCCTGACTGCTTTTTTCCCTGCGTTCCCGGGAGCTGCTACAACAATCCCATGGAGCAACGACCCAGGAAAACGTGGAAAACTGTCATGGATGACTCCAAATGGCAAACTGGGCCTTTTCCAGCTCCTCCCATTTTCCACCTGTCTCCTCGTGGCTTCTTTGTCCCCTGCACACGTCAGCTCAGACAATTTTAGCTGCTGGAATGCTGGCACCCAAATTCCCACCTCATCCTCCTTTATCCCTTTATCCCCCTCTCCCAAGGGTGACTCAACCCACCCCGAGATAGTTTAGCCAGGGATAAAAACCCTGGATCGGCTTCTCCCTGCTGATTATTGGGGATTCAAGGTCAAGGATCAGCTTTTCCCCTGGAGAAATCCAGAGGGGAAAATCC